GTTCACCACGCGTAAATGTATCAGGTATATTTTCCTTGTCAAGACCAAGTCTTTTCATAATGATACTTGTTTTTGACTTTGGCACTGCTTTTGACTGCAATGCACAAGAGGAATGTTTTTCTTTTCCATGAATATTCTGATTGGTAAGATCCTTCAATGAACTTGCTCTTGTTCCACTTCTTGTCACTACCATCATGAACTTGAAGAGAACAAAGCTGATATGATTACCAACACTCTCTTGGCTTCTGGCCCAAGCAACACTGAGCATTCACTGCCTTGCCCAACACCATCAAGATCTGGCTTGTATTACACAATAGCTGTAACTACCAGTCACATGGGAGTGTCTAGCCAATTGTATTATATAACAAGCCTTGTGCATGTGTTATGTAAGGCTTAGTTATGCGATACAAGTTTGGTTGTCATGACAACATTCTGTCCTCATAGCTTGTCCCAAGAAATGCACCACTGTCACATTAATGTTTAATAAATACACATATTTTTATATATTTTTTAAAACATACAAATGCCTAGTGAGGCTCAGAAGATTGTCTACAAACTAAATATTGCCCTACCATGCATGCCTACGGAGTAATAATTAGTCAATTTTCGAGAAAACACTCAAAATGTTTTTCCACTTTTTAGTGTGTTAAGATCAAGGAAATACACCAAATGTTCTGAGACTGGTAAAACTAATCACTCACCTATTTGAAACATCAACACAATCACAGTGTTAAACATTTAGATTGACACCTTTTGCCAAACACACCTTTTGTCAATATCTCTACTACAACAGCTGGTCCACAATCAATGCACACAGACTTCTCAATCTCAGATTACATTTAAATAGAACATGTGACAGATTGAAATGAATTGATACATTCCATCTTTCAAACTTTTGACAATCAAGTCGTGAAGTAGGTCGTTGACATTTACCACCACTTTTATTTAAATCCAAGAGCATTTTAACTGATAACAGATGAGAACCACAATCAGGGAGAATCAGTGATCCAAAGCCACCATCAACATATCCTAGTATGGCTAAGGGACACAATTCTGCACTTTGACTACTTGGTCACCATCCGTCCCCAGATTAGTGTTAATATTTAAATTCATGAATTCAGAACATTGGATATCATGTCCATGAAAATGGCTGAATCTTGAATCTAGGAACCTCTTATTGATGAAGAAAAATACTTGATTCATTGCATACTGATGATGAATATGTCTAGTATTTGTAATTATTTACAACTAAGAGAATGGTGAACATTTTCAACAACACTCAGATATAAAATATTGTTTTTCTCCTCAATTAGTTATGGACACTTCTAATTAATCATTGCATCAGTACAGAGTCATCAGTTTACTGAAAATAATTTGCATATTGGTTTAAAATGAGGCCCTATTGTCTGACATTATGTACCCCTGGAAAAACGTCAAGCACCACTTACTGTATATTTCCATATGAAATAGTCCTTTTTCAAATCATATCCCGTTTTAATTTTCTCACAATACACATTTGCTTTTGTTTACAACGTGAATTTCACCGAAGTAGATGCTCTCATATATATTTGCAGAAAATCACAAATAATGTCATACATCTCATTACCGAAAAGGTTTATCCTAACGCTTGTGGGTCGACTGACAGAATGATTGATGATAAAGTCAGATGATTCCCTCTATTTCTATTTTTTTCTATTAATGCTTTCTATACCTTCCAAATCACATGATTTGGTAATGTTACTTTTCAACACACAGAACTTTCATTTGATAGCAATATTGCATATATTTTCAATACTTTGAATCATGATTCTATAACAAAATAGCCAAAATATTATAGAATTCCTAATTTGATGTATAATGCAATTCTTGCTTTTTAAAAAACACTAGATCATGAGCAACGTCCCACTTTGTCAGAGTACACTGTTACACGATCAACCAAGTCACCAGGCCTGATCGCTGATCCTCTCAAGCCAGGCATACATCATTGCATGAGAAAATCGACGCTTGGTTCATAACCAACATGGTGACTGCCATGCAGTTATCGGCGATTGCAGGATGTGCAGAGCATGTGTACCATCAACTGAGTGTCAACTGATGTTTTCCAAATCTTTTCATGTTTTCTACAATGGTGCTCAAGTGATTTGATGCACTTCGTGAGGTAAAACCCATCTTATTGCAATAAAGATCTTGATAATGGATAAGATCATCTTGACTGGGCGTTGCCATTTTGAAACAAATGCATGTAATATTGGAGGTGGAATCTGAGAAGTCAATAGGAGGGACATATAGGGGACATAACTTGTAATCGCCACCTAACTGCAGCCTTGTTCAGCAAGGATGGAAAGAAGACTTTTACAGTCAGATAAATCCCTTGCCCAGTGAAGATGAGAGCATGCTGAGAGATGCAAAGTTTCATAAAAAAATATTTAAGGGACTATGAGTAAAACTTGTTGCCTTGGAAATGAAAAAAGAAATATACTGATGGAAACGAATAAGAGAACAATAATAAAATACAGGGAAATAAGCTTTACTGTCAGTACATTTGAAATAGCGCACATACAAATTCAACACGTCAAAATCAAATGTTGAGATGTGTTTGTTTGCATTGTTTGCAACGCGTTCTGGTTGACAAGGCTGGGAACCCAACATATACATTTTCTGTGTCTAAACTTATGTGTTCCTTTATCCATTTCCATCAGGATATATAAAAATTTGATAAAGATCAGAATAGCAAAAGGCACCAGTTCAGAGCAGGCTGAAATACTGAACAGTTTATGACTTATGCTCTGGCAATGAAAGCGAAAGTGCAAGTAGCTATATCGTACTTATCTAATGATATATTTTGTTATTGTTCCATGTTAATATTTGACTACCCCCTCCATTGCTTGCTGTGTTTCTATGCATCATATATGATATAACTATTTGCGGTCGTCTGGAGAGTCACATAGTTGTGCAAACTTTTCAGTTGGCGTCAGTGGCCCATGAGACATTAATTAAAATGTCATCAATATGTATACACAATAAAACTGTTCAAACAACCTCCATTAAACATCATAGCTGATTTTGTTTCAAAACAGATGCATAGAAGACATTAGGAACTATGTATCATAATCAACTCAACAATGAAGTTATAGTTCTGTGGACAATAGCTATCAATTTAATGTTTTGTTATCTTGAAGAAAGTAGATGCAGACATATGATGGTATACATATGACAGACACATACGAGTCCTTTTGATAAAAAAAAAAATACTTTGATGAACATTTATACTTAATATTAATATATTCAAACGACCTTGACATTAACATACAAACAACATATTGTTGAAAGTTAATTAATGATAGCATATAAATACAGTCCTCAAATTTTAATACATACAAATTATCAAAGCACAATATATAATGAGACCTTTGGCAAGGTTAACCAATCAAATTACAGAAACTAAACTTTTATGTGCACTAAAAACATCTATGTTAATTTACTTGCCTGAAATTGTCTCTTAGTATTTGCATAAGTCTTAGTTAATTTTAGAATTAATATAACAACATTCACAGCTGAGTGTTAGGCCAAATAATCGTGAGATGTGATGTGTATGAAGTCACACTATCAAATACTCCCTCATAATTTTCACAAGTCTTTAGAATGAATGACCTTATGGCAAGCGTCAGGTGTTCTTAATTACTAAAGACCTGTTAAGATCCGGGGTAGAATAGGTCTTCAGCAACCCAAGCTTGTCGTAAGAGGCGACTAATGGGATCGGGGGGTCAGACTCGCTGACTTGGTTGAAGCATGTCATCGATCCCAATTGGGTGGATCAAGGCTCATGATGTCAATCACTGGATTGTCTGGTCATGACTCAATTATTTAAAGACTGCCATCATATAGCTTGAATATTGCTGAGTGCGTTGTTAAACAACAAAGAAACCAAATCAATAACTGAAAATCACAGATTAAAAAATAACTTGTAATCAGATGCATAAAACAAGAATGACACCTGGTGATGTTAACAGATTGCTGTTATGGTAACAGGCTGTTCCAAATACAGGGGTGTGAAAAATCAATGTTCATCTTGGATAGCTTGTTACATGAGTAGCCAGACAACAAATCAGCTTCGGTTGTCTGCATACAAACCTTACATTTAGCATACCTTTAGTCAATTTTGATAAAATAATTGTAACAAGTACTAAATGTAGTTTTAAAAGAGCATAAACATCGCCAGTATGATCAATCTAACTGACGGCAGTGAATTGTATATTTCCTTGTTTCGATTGCAGTTTAGGACACACTGTCTGATTGGTAGATCAGACTACCATGTAGCAAAACATAAGAAGTCATGGCAGGTCGCATAGGCTGACTCAATATCCATGTTAAGATTTGTCTTCGGCCTGGACAACATCATTCTTTGTGGTTGGAAATACATTTACATCTTTTATGGTGTGATAAAACACCATTTTGGGTCAATAAGCTGGACAAGTAGGCTTTGTCTCCAGACAAATGTTTTTTTACTGTTTAGTTGCCCAAGGATATGAGGTGGGCATAGAGTGTCATGTTAGAAATTGGCACTCATCCTGTAGTCCTCACCAAACTGCCCAATAGTTAAGGTATTAAGGACTAGTAGAAATTTGCCATTTTTAAGGGTTTGGTTATATGTTATAATAAGGACTACTGGACTAAAATTGTTAGTTTCTACTGCTTGTGTGGAGTATAGAAAATATGGGAGTTAATTCACTGACATCTCAGAAACAATAGGAAAACCTTGATAGTATCTATAACCTACCACAACACCATTATTACGTTATTAAAAGTTCTATAACTCAAACATAACATACACTATAACATTAATTGTTCTGCTTACTATTTATTTGCATTATCTGTGATAGTTGAACTCCCAAAGAAGGTCTTTTAATGACAAGCAGCTGTCTTTTCCTGTCATTGTTTCCCATTATCAGTCATGGGTACATATTCTGAACTCGTAGAAACAATGAAGTAGATGTACTTACATGTCCCAAGGGCTCCAGATGGGGGAGGGGCATCTGTTTGTGGTCTCACTTGAGGGGGACTTGTGCCCGGACCACCAGGGTATCTTCTTCTATGCAGGTTGGAAGAAAAAATTTGCCTGTTGGCAAGAAATATTATTGTACATTTATTAGCATGTGCAAATTAGTCCAAAAAATAGTAACAACAATGCGACAGAACATATCTATCAATCTACAATATGTTTCAGATGCAAAAGGCAGCAGCTTGACACAGGAAGAATCGCTGTCAGTATCAAATGATAAAACGTTATCATACCCCATTTCAGAATGAGGGCATCTGATTGGTTCACATGATCTTGATAAAATACTATGTATCCCGCCTGAGCAGCAGAATACAATCCCTTATACCCTGCCACGAAGAACACAGGCTGCACATGGATTTCTGAGCCGGAAAATAAATCCCTTATACCCCGCTTCTAACACAAAAACTGCACACGAACGTCTCTTGACAGCAAATAAATTAACCTCAGCTCAATCGCAGAGCTGTTTTCTAATAATTTAAATTATTTTGAATTTGTTCAAATTCTTTTACAATGGCAGATTAAAACATTTCAGTAAGATAAATTTGATGTAGCAGTATCACTCGGGGTACATGTGGTTTTATGCATCCCTCCGGCATGTGGTATAAAACCTGACGCAGGATGCATAAAACCACATGTACCCCGAGTGATAATGCTACCACTTATATTGTACTCTGACATTTTCCACTTTTCCTCGTGAAAATTACTAGATACTGCCATAAAAGCAATTCTTCACGATCAGATATTACATGCAAAATTTCAGCTTTAAGTTAAAATAACTTCTGGAAAGACTGGTGAAGTATAATCATTTTAAAAACTAAAAACAAGGCAAAACAGAGAGAGAGACTGAATTTGGATTGATGCTGCTTTTAACATTACTCAGTTATCTCAGAGTGTCAGCATAATGTGGGAGGAAAGCCAAAAAAAAGTGAATCAGGTTTCAGACGTTCACCATCTTGGTGAAACCCACAAGCACGGATATGATGCTGACAAGTCAAGAAACATAATCAGGATAAAGCAGGACTCAAACCCACAATCAAAGGACCAGTTGTTTTCTCTGAGAAAATTTAGCCATTTTAAGTTGAAAAGTCTGAAATAAGGACCAGCTGGATACGCCCAGTGGTTTCTATCCCTGCAGACATCATGACACCTTCAGTGCCACAGTTGCTGCCAGGTATTATTCCATTTTCAAAATGATCTGCAAATCAGCTTAACTGGGCCAAACCAAGCATCAATAGCATCATAATGAGTCAAATATAAATAATGTCATAGATGCTACTTCCTCGGCTGTTTATCTTTTAGTATAATATCAATACTTGGCAGTCATTATGACCACCAGATTCCCTGTTTTAATTTATACATATTCCTGGCTACTAATATCTTAAAAGCAACATCTAATTTCAGGGACTTATTCTGCTTTGAAATTCCCTCAGGCTCAAAGGTTTTTGGTGGACACATTTACAGTTTTTTAATAACAAGGTGCCTGTATCAACAACAGCGATTCATTAAATGGCATGTTCACTATGAGTGCTCTGATACAGAATTGCATTTATACCCACCCATTAGTTCTCTTGGTGTCAAACATGTGGTAATGCAAACATCTGCATAACCTTTATATTAAAAGTTTATAATCTAGGAAGTTGAGGAACAAAGGACCCTCATCACACATGTATACTATGACAATATCCAGCTCTACTCATGACTCATGAAACAAGAGAAAGTAATATGAAATACCTGTAAAGTTCCCTAATCTTTATCTGCACAGGCATTGTGCAGCCTTTTTGTACAAGCTGTAGCGCTCTCTGAAGTAGTTCTTGTTTGCGGCCGCTTTTGTTCCTCCCTGCAAAGCCCAAAAGGACTTGCAGTTCGGACACCCGAAAGCTCATTATCATGTGCTGAAAAAATAACATTAGAACATGTTTATTTATAAAAGCTGATACAACTAAAAATGTACATTGCCCTAAAAATCATGTACAATTCTCATCGCTTACGTCTGCATGTCAATTTTAATACAAAAGTAGCACCATTTCTCAGGGATTTATCTAGGATTCTGTCATTTGCTGCAGACTTAGGGCCAAACATATCAGCCTCTGAACAGTTCAAGAAAAATCCCTATATAAACAGTAATTAGGAACAAATTTATATCTACAATACATAATGACACCTAAATGTTTTTCTTCTAAAAGCAGATCAATCAACTAAAATAGCCCTTTGCCATTAATTAAGTATATATTGTCAGTTACTGTAACTATCCTCAACAAATCCAATCAAGAAATGCACGTCTTCCTTTTATGTTGCATACCAAGCTAATGGCTCTTACAGATGTCTTGTTCTGAATTACTGAAAGCATTGCATTACTGCATACATCATGTATATCATTTATGTAAATCATTTAAGTGGACAAGAAATAGGGTTCATATGGGGATTATAGCACTTATAAAGCGATATGCATGCACGTGTATGTGTGTGTGTGTGTGTGAAATAGGATTAATGCCGATTTAAAAGTGGTCTACTGAGAAACCATGCAACATGAATCCAACTCAGACATAGAATACTGACTCTGAGCTGACGAGTCCTTGTTTAAGCCCCTTTATGCCAAGTGCCAGGCAGGGTAACAACTAGTGCCATACTTTAACGTCTTTTGGTATGAAGCAGCCAGGCACTGAACCTCCGACCATCATCATAACATGCCAACTGCACAGGTAATCATAACACGGGTAATCCAACCAAAATCTTCACAAAATTATAATGACATATAATATGTGAAGTATAGACAAGAGAGTGACTAGTTTGGCTTAGATATCTTGACAAACAATTTTTCAGAATTCTACATTTTTCACAAGCAGCATTTATTGCATCTAATGAGAACAAGTTCAAGGTCACGTGAGATGTAAACAAGGTCACACACCAGTATTGTGCTTCCGTATGTTTCATAACATTTTATACAAGTTATTCTTATTACCAAAATTGGCTTGTTATTAATGTCGATTCAAGTTATCTTGTCAAAACGCAACCAACAAGGCACCAACCCTGGTGACGCCCAGTTCCACGCAAAAAAAATGTGTGGAAACCTTTAGGGACTAGTTGAAATTTGTATGGGGTTGCATGTTATCTCGCAAGGCAGAAGGTTTGATTTAGCACCCACATTACCGACATTATTGAATTGAGCTAAAATCGTACATGTATATGCATCCATAGTTTCTTTAGTCTCACTTTAGTAAATATGCCAACTATGTTTTCATCCTTCGTGGAACTATTGCGTTTGATTGGACATGTTTCATCTCCACTTCATTGGATATGATTGTCATCATGATAAGTGCAGACTTCCATACAGAAAGATGTCGTATTTCATGTGTACTACAGCACTTGCTGTATGTGCAAACGTAGGCAAGTCTTTGACATGTGTGAAAATCAAACAAAGATTTATCGGATACATCAGTGTCAGCATCAGTAACTACATAATGCAACAAGCATACCTGACATAGTTTTAAGAATTGTGAAAAATAAATCTGATGCTCATTGATGTAGCGCTTGTGGACAACATACCCTTGGAAAGTTGAAATGAGGAGCAACCAGGGTATATAGCATGAGTAAGTGGCTTACAAAATTATGTCCCAACATTTTTCACTTTCCTCATGTTTAAATTTCCATAAACCTATGTTCATTGAAAACGTCTTACTTGCACATGTAATAAAACATGTTCATATAAAAATATATACACTACAGCATGTTGGTTTTGAGGTATCAATAAAACCGTTTAAATGCTGCAGGGAATGCAAGATGGAAGTTGTGCAGTATGCAATTGCAAGCACCTACAACAATGGTATATACATGTGAAGAGCTCAGTTTATTATCAGTGTGATTTCCCACCAATTGATTCAGTTTATCTCAACCTCTGACAATGAGCTCACATTGAAGTATCACCAGGAGTAGGCCTTGCCTCACATGTCAATTGCTACAATCAACAAGGAAGCCTGAGATGATGATAGGAGTTTTTGTGTCAAACGACACAACGTCAACCATTAGGCTAAACAGATACAGGTTCGACATTTTGTTAAATCAACCTGTAAATATCATTTTGACAAGGAAGCCTGGCCAGCCACGGTCAACAGGCAAAGCCGACATGGTGGTCAGAAATGAAAACATTGTTTAGATGGAGTGAAAGAAGGCGTGTAATGTTTGTCTGTATTGAATGGATAGTTTCTAGAAACCCCTAAAAATATTAATGAAAACCTATGTGGAAAGCCTGAATCATTTTTTAATCTGTTCTTATGAGTTATGTTAGGACATTTTCCGATTGAAAATTTTCACACGAACCTTGAGGTCTGCGGAGTCCGCCATTTCCGTTCTTTAAGGGTCATGCGCAATAGCTCATGACTCGTTTTCATCAATAGCCTCGTTCCCAGTGGGAGAAAATGGCGACCTCCAGTGGTAAGTGTCCTCTACATGTCTTTGCAAGATAACTTGCGATTTGATGTTTATTAACGATACAGAGTGAACTTTTTCAATTTTACCATCATTCCAATGGTGTAAAAAATTGCCCAAGTTGTGAATCCAACGATACGCAGGCAATCGCCTTTGAAGGGGTTATGCAACGTAAAATGTTTACCTTTGCTGCTGATACCCCAGTTTTCGTGCACCTATTATCGTTAGATCATCAGCGCTAGAACAAATTTAACACTGGCCAGCTTCTCCGTGTCTTACATTGGACAAGTGGAATAATGAACTTGAAGTCTACTTAACTCTATTGATTTGTTGAACCGAACAGAATGCACGAATTTACATTCTATTTTGAGTGTGCTAAAAGGGTGCAGGCTAATTCCGGGGTAGAATAGGTCTTCAGCAACCCATGCTTGCCGTAAAATACGACTATGCTTGTCGTAAAAGGCGACTAACGGGATCGGGTGGTCAGGCTCGCTGACTTGGTTGATGCATGTCATCGATCCCAATTGCGTGGATCGATGCTCATGATATCAATCACTGGATTGTCTGGTCCAGACTCGATTATTTACAGGTCGCTGGAATATTGCTGAGTGCGGCGTTAAACAACAAACCAACCAACCAACTAAAATGGCACCTCAGTAAAACGTCAGCGATTTCTCTGGCGAAAACAGCACCGCATTTGGCGAAAACGTGTTATTTGTAGTATTTTGTTGCCTGTCACACTTGTGGCGTCACTAACCATTCTTATTACTCTCTCATTCCTTGCTCTGATCCAGATTATTCTTTCAGTGTCCACTACCACACTTTTCTGTCATAAAAATCACCATTATTAAATACCATGTCATTCATGCGCACCCGTGTGTTTGACGTCAACATGGAACCGTTTTCATTTTGCATCATATTAGCTCATTCCTCACCACTCGGTATCTTGTAGATTGCAGAATTGGACGAGTATGCCAAATGGCATCGGGATTACTTGTAAGCATCCATAGACTAAAGTCATGAGACTTCCTTTTGGCATGGTAGTGGTAATAGAATGGCTTCTTGTGTTACAGTATTGCGACTTTCGGGTCTGTTTTCTCCGACTTTTGGGTCCCTGGTGAGTCGTCAGTCCCCAGCACTGACAGTCCAGTGTCGCAGTCTCTTCACCGACAAAGAGGATGACAAGACAGGTGTCAGGTGATTACTAACTTCATTCTAAATTCATCGATGACATACTTTGACCTGTTAACTATCATGTATGTTTGTTTTTTACTATTATATTTAATATACATATTTTCACGATTAAAATAACTTTCGGTAAACAGAGAGAAAATGTGTGTAGACCTTTGCTAATTGCTTAGACTAAAAGATCAATACACTCAGTTATAGTTATCTCTGCATAAGAAACAATGCACAGCATAACAAAAATTACAACTGAAACGGAAAATCATCATCTCCAGAGGAAACTGTACAGCTTAATGGGGAGGTGACGACTGTATTTATCAGGGATAGATATTAGCGCTAACCCAGACCAGTTTTGATAATGTTAAAGGAATCCTAAGGGCTAGTAGAATTTCAAACATTTTTGGGTATTGCAATATGTTATCAGTATTGCAAAGTCTCCATGTAAACATTCTTCTTAATTTTTTACCAAAATATAGAATTTAAGATAAAATTTATTAAAAAATCTGTCAGTGGTGTAAATTAAGAGCAATCAGAAATCTTGCTCTGTGGAATAAGGAAAAGCAAACACATAGGATAGCTGAATTTTCAAAACTGTTTGAGTATTAAATAGGATTATTAAGTGTTTAACATTTTCAGTGTTGTTCCAAGTAGAGAGCAGAGCACAAGCCAGGGAATAGTGCCAAAGAAGACATATTCCCCTTTCCAGAACACAAGCAACAAGGCAGAATATGCACTGGCCAGGGTGGATGACCTCCTCAACTGGGCCAGGAAGGTCAGCCATTTTTCAACCAAGTAACATGTGAAGATCTGGAGTAGAACAGGTCTTCAGCAACCCGTGCTTGCCGAAAAAGGCGACAATGCTTGTCGTAAGAGGCAACTAACAGGACTGGTTGGTCAGGCTTTCTGACCTGGTTGATGCACGTCATCGTATCCCTATTGTGTTGTTGGGGGGGCGGTCGGGTAGCCTAGTGGTTAAAGCGTTCGCTCGTCACGCCGAAGACCCGGGTTCGATTCCCAACATGGGTACAATGTGTGAAGCCCATTTCTGGTGCCCCCCGCCGTGATATTGCTGGAATATTGCTAAAAGCGGTGTAAAACCATACTCACTCACTCACTCACTCCTATTGTGTTGATCAATGCTCATCAAGTCAATTTCTGGATTGTCTGATCCAGGCTCGATTATTTATAGACTGTCGCCATATATGAAGTAGATATGAGCATGATCAGTTTTAGATTGCTTGTCAGTGTAAATAATTTCATTATTACACTGTAGAAGTATTTTTGTGTGCAAATATTATCATAATTATTGATCACATTATGTTAATCTCACAGAATGTAACACATGTTTGACAATCAAATTTATGGTATACTTCTATATATAAGTGGCAATGTGTTGAGTTGTGTCCCCTAGGAGCTGACAGGATGCAATGGTTGTGAGTTCTAATCCCAGATTTGTCATAGTTTTAAGCTCCAGGTTAGGTCTGACATTTTTGATAATAACCAGTCAATGTCCAAGAAGACTGATCTGAAACCCTGTTGATATGATTAACATATAGGCCTGAGTTACAGCTGTCGTGGTGCTACAGTCACTGTATGGGATGGGACATTGTGTGATATGGAGATTTGTCCTGGCAGAGCTCCCTGTGGCCACTGACGTTTGGCTTGGCCTGCTGTGCTGTGGAGATGATGCACTTCGCCGCCCCCAGATATGACATGGACAGGTTTGGGGTGGTGTTTAGAGCCAGCCCTCGACAAGCAGATCTCATCATTGTTGCTGGAACTCTCACAAACAAGATGGCTCCAGCTCTGAGAAAAGTAAGCTTATTGGTACAAAGAGGCCACTGCAGTGTTAGAAACTAACAGTTTTAGTCCACTAGTCCTTATAATGATAACATATAGCAAAAAGGGCAAATTTTTACTTGTCCTTATGATACCTTAACTGTTGGGCAGTTTAACAAGGACAACATGACTAGTGCCAATTTCTGAGCAGCCACGGGCACTGTAATTCCTAAACATGGCAACTGAATTTGATTATTTTATGTTGTAGTTTTACTCTCTGTATATTTCCTTAACTATTTGCATATATATTCCCATCAATGAGGTCAACAATACTAAATGAGCTTGTTGCACTACAGCTTCAAAATTAATTATGAAGGTATTTTATTTATTTTTGAGCTTCTTGGCTTCAAAGTGGAGCAACAGTGGCCCTGAATGTCACAAATCTGGTGAAGTGGTGCATAGCTTGTTGATCGTTGAAAATTCTTACTTTTGTGATTTCTTTGCAATGGGGAATAGTTTGGAAGTGATCTGTATTCAGTGTTTGAAATTAGGCATGGAAGTCCAGAGGTCGTTGTCATACTTAAAAGTCACATGGAGTCTAAAGTTTAGAGGGTTCCTAGATTCAAATACCATATGAGAAGACCTCAAGATCCCAGGACTTTACATATTGCAGTGACCTGTGCCTGACTTAACCTGTTGCAGTGACCTGTACCTGACTTTACCTGTCAAAGGTTACCTGTACCTGACTTTACCTGTCAAAGGTTACCTGTACCTGACTTTACCTGTCAAAGGTTACCTGTACCTGACTTTACCTGTCAAAGGTTACCTGTACCTGACTTTACCTGTCAAAGGTTACCTGTACCTAACTTTACCTGTTACAGGTGACCTGTACCTGACTTTACCTGTTGCAGTGACCTGTACCTGACTTTACCTGTTACAGGTGTATGACCAGATGCCGGAGCCGAGATGGGTGATCTCTATGGGCAGCTGTGCCAACGGTGGAGGCTACTATCACTACTCTTATGCCGTGGTCCGAGGCTGTGACAGGGTTATTCCTGTTGATATATATGTTCCAGGTAGGTTCACAGCCTTCATTTCTGACTTCCTGTTGTACAAGGTCACAGACCACATCCTGTATCAAATATTCATGATCTCTAATTATTTTTTGTTGTTTGGTATAGTTCACAATTAACACTGACGATTAATCATAATAGTTAGATTGTGAAGATCATGTGTGGAAAATGTCTTTAGCAACCCATGCTTGCCGTAAAAGACGACTAACAGAATGGGGGAGGGTGGTGGTCAGGTCGCTAACTTTGTTTTGGCTTGTCTTTCAAAACAAAGCCATGAGCAGGTGCTATTATTCCTTGTGTGCATCATGAGCAGGTGCGATTATTCCTTGTGTGCATCATGAGCATGTGCTATTATTCCTTGTGTGCATCATGTTGCCAGGTTGCCCCCCGACGGCGGAGGCATTGTTATACGGAGTTCTACAGCTGCAGAAGAAGATCAAGAAGATGAAGACGGTGCAGATGTGGTATCGGAAGTAGTTGGCTAGTATCGTGTACATAGACTGCATCTGTTATTTGTACATATTTGTTGTGTTAGTGCAACCAGTAGCATGCGAGGAACGCTACAACACTTGACCAGCATGGTGGATGGGGAAGTCTCAAGTTCAAAGTCTTCCCTGAAGTTACTCTGGATGTGAAAGTACATGAAGATCTGTGCTTGTTTCGGGTGAAAATCTTCAGTGCCACAATGGACTTGTTTGAAACAATGTGAATTAACATGGAAATTTGGAAATAAAAACTTTCCAGTAAAGTATTCATTGCTTATTTTGTAGAAAGCTGAGCATTCATAAGCCAAATGCATCAGGGTCTCACAGTACGCACAAATGTAGAGAAGAGACGTAGAAAAACAATGTACTGTGTCCGTGGGAACCTATGCATTGTACATACACTGCAACAAGAGCAGTAATGGGTGTCTGTTATTTCATCCATCAATCATGACCACTGTCCACATGATCATTGATTCATTCCAGGCTAAAAAGTAATGAGCTAAACGTACACAACACTACACCATTTCATTACTTTACAGGACCCCCATATTGCCTGCAAAGACCCTTCAAGTTAATCATTGGGGTCCCCTGGACCTGCACTGTTGTAGGTCAAGACAATAACCTTGTGCATTTTCAGTATATGAATGTACATCTTCCTGATGCAAGGGAGTTAACTGACTATAAATGTCCCGTTTCCACCCTTTCCCAACTTGGCCGGAATTTCTGGGTTCGATCATAGTGCCGCCAGCTATTACGAGTTATGTACCTTCTATGCCCTTCTATGACCAATCTGATTCCCCATCACTTGCATTTGTTTCAAATCAAATGGTGGTGCCCAGTGAACGCGATCCGATCGATAATCAAGATTTATATTGTAATAAAACGAGTCTTACTTTGCAAAGTGCTTCAAATCACATGACCACATTAAAAACATGAAAAAGATTTGGAAAATATATGTTGATGGTACACATGCTTTGCAAATCCTGCAGTCGACTGAAATCCACACGGCAGTTTACGAACCAGATGTTCAATTCGTTATGAGATTTTGATTGGAGCGTGCATAGACTCGTTAGTCCAGCCAAAATATAGCTCCATAATTGAAGCCTAGTTGGCAAGGGTGGAAACTGGACTTTTATACGGTAGTCAGTTAATGCCGTTGCCTCGGGAAGACGGTTAATGTATGACAGAACCTCATGTGATACTGGTTACTTATGCTGAAGTGGACCACTTTTCACAATGAACTTCACTCATGGCAGACTGTGGACACACTCAGTGGCAATGATACCACTCTTCACAATTACCATGACATACCATTGACCTTGGATGTTGAAGGATTGAAGAAGCATGCATGTCGCAGTTCATTAAACACTTTCAAGGATTAACCTTGAATGTTTTACCTATGAGAGAAAATCCCCCTCCCCGGTCTAAAAGCAATGACATTTTTTGGTGTTTGATGAGATTTTGCAAATTTTCAGTGACATTTTGTCTTCCCACAGTGGAATCTGTATTTGATATTTGGTATTTGTGACTCGAATTATGTTGCAATTAATGTTACTAGATTATATAGTTACATCTTCCGATGTTTTCGAACATTAATTATCCAATTGTGAATATTTAAAAATATTAGCATTAGTATCAACAAAAATTTGCATTAGTTTTTATGTTTCTGTTAAGTGTCTACTTTAGGAGAAAATACATTAATATTTATGTATTTCAGTTCATTGTCAACTTTAGGAAGAATTATTTGCGAGAATAATTATAGATAAGGCATGTTTACCACCATCAGCTGTTCATTTCGTTGGCATGCGGGTAAACAAACAATTTATAGGTCTTCAACATTGTCTGTTCAGATCGTAATTAAATATATTCAAAACAGTGACCTGAAATAGCGACAGTTGTAACTGGTGTCACAGTTTGTTGACAAAAAATATATAATTTACATTCCAATGCGTTCAAAATTTTCACTGTCTTGTAGTGTCTGCAGTGTGTACTGTATCAAAGATCGGGTGTCTGACCGTATCAAATGAAATCTTATCAACATGGACTTTTTAAATTACGGTAATTAGAAGTGACAGTTCATTTTACATTTATTTTTGCTCCAGGTTTACTCTTTTGTTTAAATTAGCAACAATTAAGTCATTGATTTTCTCAGCATGTTGCTATGTGAAGCAGCCAGAAAATGTTTACATGTAACCTGAAGTTGAAAAGATTGTTGACATTCATGATGTTTATGAGTTACATTTGAATGATTAAGTCAGTTTTCAATAAATATGGACAAATCTGGGAAGCAAACATATCGTAGCATAATCGAAAATATCTCCAACTTGCTGTTTGGCCACTAGAGGTAGTTCAACATTCGTACTTAATTCATGCACATTGGCCATTTTCAAGAGGGAAAACGTTCATGAAAACCAGTGCTCTCTTATCTAAAGTCCAGGCGAATCACATCTAAAATATGATTTAGTTGTATATATCATAATTTGTTCGTTTAGGTTTGGTTTTGTCATTCTAAAATCGAAATTTGGTTGTATTTTGAAACTTTACCCGTGATTGCTTTTTCTCGCTTGATTTCTGCACGGATGCACATACATGTACATCTTTGATTTCTGCTAGGATTTAAGTGACCAAAAAGTATGGCTAATGACTTTTTGTAGATCACTGAATAGGACTTGTCAATCAGGTATAAAAAAATGCAGTGCAAAGCTCCACGCAGTGCTATAGGAATCATTAATGCACAGTAAGAGATGCAGTGTTGCGAGTGTTTTAATTGACAACTTTTGACAATTGAAGAAACTATCGAGGAAGTTTTTTATTGCCATTTCTAGATACAGTAGATTAGGGTTCACTCAAGGAATTTTCTGACATGGGCCCTTCATGTGAAAATTTCAAATATTCCCCGAGGCACGCCCATACAGCACAATGTTAAAATGCATCTTTGTATTTGAACATATGGGCGAGAATTATTCCTGGTAGATAATTTTATTCAAGCAATAGAACTTTTTCGATGATTGTATGTGAAAATGAGAGTGTCAGTGCGGATAAAACTATTGAAAGATGTACGCTATTTCCAATCACGCTGAATTAATGTTAATGTGATATTTATGACAACTATGTGAGAACATCGTGGAATCGCGACTTGTCATCCCTGCACTTAAAATGATACTTCAATATGAAATGAAGCTTGAAGGTTTGGTTGCATAGCAGACTTCATGGGTTTGTGTACACCATGTTTCACCATCATGGAAGTATTTGAAGACGGACTGTTGTGACTTCGGGACATCAGCCTGTTGTGACGAAGTCAATTTGTAACAGCATCTGATTGGGTATCGACAATAAGCAATGCAGAAGGTCCAAGTACATTTAGGCAGCCTTTAGATAACCGACGGTGCCGGCAAACCACTGGTTGATAGCATAACAACAATCAACACAACGAGGGAGCATGGACACATTGTCACCAGTGAACTATCAAATCAATACACTACAAGCAACATATTGTCTGTCATCAATACTTGGATACAGACGATACTCGAATTGTCAGTTTGTGAGATCGCGATGTGCTATCAATAGAACAGGAACTGATGGAGTTACCTCCCGTAATGGCAGAAGTAGCACAGCGCCACCGGCAAGCATGGTGGAACACAAGGATGTGGTAATAGTGGACATGTATGCTGAGTTTAAGTCTTCAGATTTTCATTTTTACCCATTTTTGGTTTTAAAAGTCCTCAAACAGAAAATGGTTGTGAAATGTATGAAGCAAGGGGTTTTAGAGTTGTATTGTCAGTTTGTATTGTCATCTCAGGCAATACTTCGCTCCAGCTCCCTGCCAGCAGTGAACACTGTAAAAAGGGGAATAACTTACACTTCACACTGAGAGCTGTTCACCATATTTGCTGAAATACTATCCGCTGAACTCGAGTATTTGTCTCCGCTCCTTGGGTGATGATATATAGGACTTGAGAGACTACCTTATCAGGATAAAAGGGAACAAACGCGAGATTGCAGTGAGAATAGGGCTTTACTTAGATCTTCTACATGTGAGAATAGGGCTTTACTTAGATCTTCTACATGGATGACATTTTGGACGTATCTTTTGAAAACCAGCATTGACAAAAAAAATGACACTTTTGACAGTTATTGCCCTTGTTTGCTATGTTGGCCTTTGAGCAGTGCAGCAAATTGAGAAATTTAAAAAAGTGTCAGAAGTAATTTACAGAAAAGTGACCACTTGTTTCCCCTGCACAACCAGTGTTTGCAACTGTAAGAATATAAATTAACTTCTGTTATCAAACTTTTGAGTGGGCCTAAGCTGGCACTAGAGTACCATGACAAGTATTGATGAAATGTTATTTTGTGAAGTGTGAACAGCTGTATGAGTCTTCTGGGATGAAGTGGTGAGTCCTTACATATAGATGCCCCATGTCAGCTGCGAGGAAGAGTCTTCTTCAGGTTACATGTGTTATGGCTGCAGTAACTGTATCTCTCTGCAGTTTGAAACCGGGCTGGTAAAAAACCTTAACCACTAGGCTACCCACCATCGCTGGCTTATATGAAACAGCACCAAGACACTGTTACCGCAGTCAGTGAGTATGGTTTTAAAGCCGCTATTAGCAATATTCCAGCAATATCACGACGGGGAACACATTGTACTCATGTGGGGAATCAAACCCTGGTCTTCAGCGGGACGAGCACTTTAACCACTAGGCTACCACATTGCTGACTGTCATTAGACAAATATTTCTGTGTGAACTCTTCCTTCCCTTCAGCCTTGAGTGTCATCTTTATGAATGTCAAAATCCATTCTCACACCGACAAAAAACATGTCCAATTTTGTTGTAGCAGCTTTATTGTGTATACATGTCTCCCTACTTGAGAGGGATAAATCGAGAGGAGTGGGTGGCACCAATACCGGGACGACCGTGCTTCACGGGCTTGTATGTGATGCTGAACTCTCCCAGATAGTGACCAATCATCTCTGGCTGAAATTCAATGTATTCTTGTGAAGCATCATGTAAAGCTATGACACCTACAAATTATCACACAGATACACGTCTTCAGGTGCAAATACTGGGTCATGATACCTCTAATTTGTGCACCAAGAGTTAGGGAGTATGGTTTTACGCCGCTTTTAGCAATATCATGGCAGAGGACACCAGAAATGGACTTCACACATTGTACCTGTGTGGGGAATTGAACCCAGGTCTTCAGCTTGACGAGCGAACGTCTTAACCACTAGGCTACTCAATCGCCCCTTCATGCATCAAGAGGAATCACCATACTAAAATTACGCAATATTTTCATGAAGATTCCATTGTTCCATGTTTAAGAAAAGGTTGTTACTGTCAAGCAGTTTGTGTCTTGCTCGCTTGACTGGTTCATTTACATGAGACTTGATCTAAACAGATTTAGGATTTGGTCCTGTGACAGGATGTTAGCCAAAGTAGTTATCAGGTGGATAGATACAAAACTTTAAAATCTTTGAAAATGGATACAGAATTAAAACAAATGAATAAAAGGATATTTAAGGGTTTAAATCTTGATTTCAAACCTTTTCAAAACATTGTAAACTGTGCAAACCACATCTCTACCAGTCATCATTGATGAGACGAGCTTACCTTGATTTCCACCTGGTTGAAGGTCTTGCCTTGGTACACTCCCACAATGCTGCCTATCATCTCGGGGACAATGATCATGTCTCTCAGATGGGTCTTCACCACCTAAACAAACACACTTCGTTATACACAAGTCTCACAAATTTCCTTCATAAGCTTGTTCAGTTGCAGTCTGTATATAGTAAGTCTGAACCAGACAATCGAGTCATTGACTTGAGCATAGATTCACACAATTGGGATATGATGACATGCATCAACCAAGTCAGTAAGGGTGACCACTCGATAGTAGCCTCTTACAACAAGCATAGATAGGTTTCCCCTAGAAGATGTAAATCAGACATTCACCTAACTTTCAGGATGTCTCGGATATTTGCTAACAACGAGAGAAACCAAGGCAGTGACAGAAATTAAGCTCCTCCAATTCCATTAGGTTTCTTGTTGCATTATTTTCATCTAAGACTCCCGAAATTTTGAATGCTTCATACAACTTTCATTCTTATGCTGTTTTAAGTTGTTGTCAAGACCAGATACATAACCCAATAAATATGCAAACTTATTGGTATGTATATCATGTTTTTCAGAAAGCTGCTGCACTCAGCAATATTCCAGCAATATGCAGCAGCCTGTAAAAGCTGACACACATCGGAATGTACAAATGATCGCAAAGACCCCACCTACCCCCACCCCCCATTTTCACCAAACACGAAAGATTTTTTACCCTTACTTAAATTCTCAAGTTTTCTATCCGAACAAGAGAAACAGCAAAATGATGCTAACCCATTAATTTTGATGACCGAGCTGTTGGGAAGATCCAATCATGATCTTACAAACTATTCCCAACTCTAGCCTAGCTTGGGGACTTTTGGATAAACATGTCAGCCCAGGGCAAAAATAAAATACAATTGAATACAAGCTAAAAAAAATGCAGTTCTGCATATACTTGCCTCTGGTTTTTCGAGGGGTCCTGCTTCCTTCTTAGCCTTCCTCAGTTTCTTGATCAGTCCCAGCCTCTTACGCTTCAGACCTCTGCTGAATCGGCGACGAGCGCGGCACGGGAACAATTCCATCAGCTGCTCACTGGAAAAAACAATCGCGGTATTAAAAAATGTGTTAAACACCTCTCACGTCTTAGTTCAAGGTTTTAAGTAGCAAATATGTTCATGAAAGGTACCCACTATCCAGTGTTTTCAAAAGAAAAAAAATAGCTGAAAAAACAGGCAAAAGCGGATGGGAAGGAGTGACTTGGATCATCAAAGGTCAAAGCTGTGATTTTCTTAAGTGTGGACTGTTGCTCATGCTTTGAGGAGCTTGATATTTACAAGCTGCAGATGACACTTTCATCCAGCTCTGAGCAATGTGTGATTTTTTTAGTGAATGAGTTTGCATGGTAAGCAAGTGGTAACACTGCATTTTAGCAACTAAACCACTACAGCCTGGAAGTTGTCAAGTTTGTTAGAAACAAACCAGTTGTCATAATGTAGGCCACAATCAATGTCCGGTTAAAATCACATGCAATCATCCAGCTCTGAGGCCAAGGGAAAGTGTCCCTGTATAAAGGTCGTTACAAGCCAAAGTCACAGTTCATACTGACAGCAGTCATTAAAATGTGACTTCTGATTCTCATCTTAAAAGGGGATGTGGCCTCAAAAAGTTTATTGAAGGTTTATCAATATCATAAAATTCATCTGGACAATGTTTCTTATCAAGTTATTTCACAACTTCGACAATAATTAGGCAATGGACATAAGTCCCTATGCTGCATATAGATTAGGGTAATATTGTATGTGAAATTTACAATGTAAGAATGAACTTGATCAATAACCTCCATCAAAAGTCAATGTAATGTTCTGGTATTGTCAATACAGCTTGATTAAACTGATGGTAGTAACTATACAGGGTATTTATGTTTACAGAGTGAATAACCCTTACGAACCATGGAGAACAAGTCTTTATTTTTGGTTAAACCAGTGCTTATCACAGTTAAAGAAATGGAACAAAATATCATAAGTATGACATACAGCCTAGCATACCTTTAAAATACATAATCATAAACAGTAACACATTCTGAATACGCTACGGTGAATCCGACTCGAAACTCAACATGTTTGTAAGTTGCACAACGTCGATGAAATGAAACACGACTACCACTGACAAAACTTCATGATAACTATAAAAAAAAAATCAGAAAATACAACCTGGTCATATCCAGAAGCTGGTCCAAGTCTACACCTCTGTATGTGTATTTACGGAAGGTCCTCCTCTTCTTCTTCTCAGCCAATTCGGCTGCTGATTGTTCGTCTGTCTGCATAAACAATCACATCAAGAAGAGATTACATGGGTGAATCAAACCTCTACGATATAACGCATCTAAAATACATGGGTGCGAAATGTTACGTCGGTACGAAAGATCGACCATTGCAGAATACAAACAACTGTTTATCAAGTGAATAAAACTATAAGATGATAGATGACAGTGGATTTAATTTAGCCTAACGAAGACACCATCCTACCATGTTGATTCTTGGACAGGAAAAGGAAGTCGCTTAGTCGGAAGTTAGTGTTTACGCATACGCAGTACAATATACTTTCTTCCACACAACTACTGATACCTATAATGGGTTTCAAAGAACCTTATATGGAAGTTACTTTTTGAAGAGACCACAAATCCCAAGGTCATAAGCTAGCTTTTTTCGCTAAATAGGTCTTTCAAACATATTAGCCACATGGCATGAATTTACATGTCGTTTACCTATCTCTAGAGTAGCATAATCAGTACTTCAGACAGAGCATCATTTGCATGTGGCCCACGGTATCTAAATCCAGATAGACTGCTTTATATGCGTGTAGATGATTCATGGATTATATGTTTGAGAAACACATATTGCATCCTTAGTTATGTAGAGGTATATGGTGTTCGCTTATTAGGGGTAAAGACTTTTACATGTTCATGTTTGTATTTTTCGGTCAATGTTTTGATCAATCCAAAACCGTGCATTATTCCACGGTATCCTCACACAGCATCACAGCCAATCTTGCCACAAAACCAAAACACATTATACACTCGAGTGAGTGAGTAAGTAATGTTTTATGCCGCCATCAGCTATCCAATATGTCTCACGGCGGCCTGTAAATAACGAATTAACTGCATCGGACAGACCGAGGATAGAAACCAAGAGCAGCGACCCACGTGTAGCGACCATAACCATAGCGGTTATGGGATTCGAACCACGGATCCGAGGTCGGACGCCTTGTCCGTATGACAAAAGAGGTTAACCCCGTCAGTAAGATGACAAGGTAAGGATGTCATCTGTGGTATGACTCCTCGTCCTGCTGCACTGACAAGGTAAGGATGTCATCTGTGGTACGACTCCTCGTCCTGCTGCACTGACAAGGTAAGGATGTCATCTGTGGGATGACACCACGCCCTGCTACACTGACAAGGTAAAGATGTCATCTGTGGTATGACTCCTCGTCCTGCTGCACTGACAAGGTAAGGATGTCATCTGTGGGATGACACCACGCCCTGCTGCACTGACAAGGTAAGGATGTCATCTGTGGGATGACACCACGCCCTGCTACAATGACAAGGTAAGGATGTCATCTGTGGGATGACACCACGTCCTGCTGCACTGACAAAGTAAAGATGTCATCTGTGGGATGACACCACGCCTTGATACACTGACAAGGTAAGGATGTCATCTGTGGGATTACTCCACGCCCTGCTACACTGACAAGGTAAGGATGTCATCTGTTGGATGACTCTACGCCCTGTTACACTGACAAAGTAAGGATGTCATATGTTGGATGACTCCACGCCCTGTTACACTGACAAGGCAAGGATGTCATCTGTTGGATGACTCTACGCCCTGTTACACTGACAAAGTAAGGATGTCATATGTTGGATGACTCCACGCCCTGTTACACTGACAAGGCAAGGATGTCATCTGTGGGAAGACTCCACTTCCTACTACACTGACAAGGTAAGGATGTCATCTGTTGGACGACTCCACGCCCTGTTACACTGACAAGGTAAGGATGTCATTTATGGTAAGACACCACGCCCTGCTACACTGACAAGGCAAGGATGTCATCTGTGGGATGACTCCTCGCCCTGTTACACTGACAAGGTAAGGATGTCATCTGTTGGACGACTCCACGCCCTGCTACACTGACAAGGTAAGGATGTCATCTGTTGGACGACTCCACGCCCTGTTACACTGACAAGGCAAGGATGTCATCTGTGGGAAGACTCCACGCCCTGCTACACTGACAAGGTAAGGATGTCATCTGTGGGAAGACTCCACGCCCTGCTACACTGACAAGGTAAGGATGACGAGGACACTCTTTCATCAAAGGCACACACGAGTCCGCCCATCCGATCCCCTTTGTTTTAATTGCTATCCCACCCTGAGTTCCAGGGCGTGTTTTGACCCGTATCCCCACATGCAAGCTTCAGCTACAGTTACCTATAATCTCTCATTCAGACCCAGAAACAAAGAAAATCCGAAAACTTGCAAGCAAATCTATATTTCTTCAGTCTCTGCAAATGAAGAGAATATTTGGGATCCTTTAGACAGTGTTATCGTGAAATGCATGTTTAAACTCCGACTGTGTCAAAGTGGGATATTAAGGATAAATATGTTTTGCCCCAAACATCGTAGATAGAGTTATTAACCTTGAACTATTAACGACTGTCAGATACAACCAACATATTTAACTTCTGGGGAGTTTTAGCATCCTCAGTTGACGTAATAGACTTAAAACTAAATGTTACAGCATGGACGCCAAGTATTATGTTTCCATGGTTACAGTTAATATCTCCAGTATTGTCGAAGCTCCTTGTGTTATTCCCGTAGAACGGCAGCCATGTCAACCATCAATTCTGCAAAGTGAATGTTCTACTTTACCCCGAGCGCCATGTTACCATTTTATAAAAAACACGTGCAGATAGATAAACCGGGTCTGTAACTTGATACATTTAAATTATAACATACGCATCAGCCGGGAGTCAATGTAGAATAAATAGGTCTTGCATAAACCCTCTGGTAATTAACAAGAAAAGACGTATGATGCGTTAATCAGACCAATGATGTTTACGTTGACATCAAGACCCTTTGTAAAAACTGAAGCTGAGCCACACAATATTCACATATACAAAATATTTACCGCATTAACAATAGCTTCTTATCGTTTTGAGAAAAATGACTAAAATTGATTGTACGTATGAAATCATGTTAGAATAGATATGTAAATAGAATATTAGTTTCTTTACTGTTTTTCTTTGTTAATTTCAGGTTTATTTCTTATGATTTATCATTTGTATAAGGTCATATTCTGAATGCATATTCCATGTTAATATGCGTTCGTCTGAGTATCACAACTTTTCTGCACATATTCCTCACATAGAAAGAAAGGCGTGAGGGTAGTAGCATAAGAGTTACAAGTTGCCCAAGGTGCGCGAAGAGGCATGATGCGAGAATTTGTTGTGATCGGCAGTCAAGTCGGCTAAGTGAGAAAACGATCGAAACTTGAGATATAGGCTTTACCATGAGATAGAATGGATTAAACTGACAAAATTCTGTCGTTTGGTGACTGTCACACAATGGGAGTGACGTGTGATTCGCCAGAACAGCGAAAAACTTTAGAGTATCATTAGCTGTGGCGCGGATTTTGATTTGCTTTGTGAGATTTGTTTTCATCGAACCATGTCAAACTTCAGACTGTCGCGCCTGTTGCCTAGATTTCTTCGAGGTGACAAGGACAAAAACGCTGGATTTACCAAAGATGCTGGCGACAAAAATTGCTGTAGGATTTTATTTCTGGATGACACCGAGTTGAAATTGCCACTCAAGGTGAGTCACTCTGAAAATCGACATGCAATAAATTTACTCAATGAAATTCCCCATTAACACACACTGCTGCCACATTTGAGTTTTGATTATGTGTTAAAATCAAGCTTTAAACTGCAATATTTCTGCAAGTTCCGCTCTTTCTGTGGACTTGTTGGTAGGCAAGTTAGGCACAGACTGACAGTGTTCGCAATGTCTGTAATATCCCGACCTGACATTGCCTGTTTCGAACAGTGAAAAGGATGTTTTGATAACAAATTAGTTTGTCTATGAAGATTGTCAGATCTCTTATGTTTCCAAGTGTTAGTGTAATTGAAATCCATGTTTGGATAGAAACCATCCTTATAAGAAGTCACATATTTTCCAAACATTTCAACAGTTACAAGTACCAGACATTTTTTTGTATTGCTAATGCCAGAAATAATCCACTAAATCACATCAAATGTGATTTGGAAAAACAACTTTCAGATCCTTTGAAATAATATGCTTTTACAAGGGCCGATATAAGATTTTGGAAAGGGGCGTGCACTTCAAAATACAATTTAACATACCAGCTCGTAATTCATTTTTGTTGTAAGCCCCAAATTAGTAAGTCAATGGTTATTTCTGTTGAAAACATTTCACCAAATGATATAGTTATATGTATTATTGTATGTCATCCTTGTCTAATCTGCATTTGTTTTAGATGCTTGATTTTGCCAATGTTATAAACAGTCTGCGCCAGTTGGGTGAGACATATACTTGCGTCTTCCAACTTGATAACTTGGCATCTAACATTACAACAATAAGGCGTTCATTTTGGTTTTAACCAAACTCAAATCTTACAAAGGTTTTTACGCAATGCACAAATGTAGATAAAGAACACAGAAACAGACTACACAGCGTCCCTTGACAATGATGTTCATTTTACATACAGCTTGTCAAGAGCAGTTATGGGTGTCTGTCATTTCATCCATCAATCATGACCACTATCCACTTGATCATTGATTCATTCCAGGCTCTAAAGTAATTATCAAAACGTACAGTACACGACAACATTTCAATACTTAACAGGACCCTCATATTGCCTTTAAGGACGCTAAAATTTTATAATGGGGGTCGACCCCCACTTTTGTAAGTCATGGTAAAACCCTGAATTAATATTTACTACTCTAAAGAAATTAAAGAACACCCAATTTATGGCATGACAGATTAACTATAATAATATGAAAAATCTGGTGTTAATCAACTTATTTTGAGCAGTATATTGAATGCTACAATATCATTAATATGGGGACTAGCAGATGACATTCTACCCCAAGGTTGTCTGCCTTGGCTTTTGTGCAGTTTGACACTACCATGGCTGTCAGTACTTTTTTGTAATGTAGGGTTTGAAATTAATATAAGTTTGCCGGCCCAAGACTTGCAAAATTGTGGAAGGACTTGTGACATTTCCTTGTTGACTACCCCTTCCCCTATGAGTTTGATGGCAACTCATTTTTCATTGTAGTGAAAATAGAAATGAATGTCCAACCCTGCAATGTTTTGTTTTACTCCTACCATCAGACCACAATACACATCCACAACAGTTACTCCTACCATCAGACCACAATACACATCCACAACAGTTACTCCTACCATCAGACCACAATACACATCCACAACAGTTACTCCTACCATCAGACCACAATACACACCCACAAGAGTTACTCCTACCATCAGACCACAATACACATCCACAAGAGTTACTCCTACCATCAGACCACAATACACATCCACAAGAGTTACTCCTACCATCAGACCACAATACACATCCACAAGAGTTACTCCTACCATCAGACCACAATACACATCCACAACAGTTACTCCTACCATCAGACCACAATACACATCCACAACAGTTACTCCTACCATCAGACCACAATACACACCCACAAGAGTTACTCCTACCATCAGACCACAATACACATCCACAAGAGTTACTCCTACCATCAGACCACAATACACATCCACAACAGTTACTCCTACCATCAGACCACAATACACATCCACAAGAGTTACTCCTACCATCAGACCACAATACACATCCACAAGAGTTACTCCTACCATCAGACCACAATACACATCCACAACAGTTACTCCTACCATCAGACCACAATACACATCCACAAGAGTTACTCCTACCATCAGACCACAATACACATCCACAAGAGTTACTCCTACCATCAGACCACAATACACACCCACAACAGTTACTCCTACCATCAGACCACAATACACATCCACAAGAGTTACTCCTACCATCAGACCACAATACACACCCACAAGAGTTACTCCTACCATCAGACCACAATACACACCCACAACAGTTACTCCTACCATCAGACCACAATACACACCCACAAGAGTTACTCCTACCATCAGACCACAATACACATCCACAACAGTTACTCCTACCATCAGACCACAATACACATCCACAACAGTTACTCCTACCATCAGACCACAATACACATCCACAACAGTTACTCCTACCATCAGACCACAATACACATCCACAAGAGTTACTCCTACCATCAGACCACAATACACATCCACAAGAGTTACTCCTACCATCAGACCACAATACACACCCACAACAGTTACTCATACCATCAGACCACAATACACATCCACAACAGTTACTCCTTTTCGAAGCTGGTGAGTTTGTAGCAGCTTCCTGTCTGCGAGATGAGTCGGAGTGACAGTCAAATTCCCTTCAGCATCTGGCTGTTCATGTTTACGAGCAAAACAGATGCACTAACGATTCTCTTTACCACTGAAGATTTTTGTCATTCCAAAGAAACCTATATCATTCCCTCGCCAAGCCATCAGAAGAACATTGTTGTCCAACTGATAACTGACTTGACATTGTTGATGGTGTCAGTTTCAGTTTATGGAAATTATGACCAAACATGTAGTTGTTTTTTCGCCTGTTTTAGCTACGTTTCATCCTGACATGACCTTGTGTTTTAAGCCTTGTATGCTGTTCCGTAATGTGATATTCTGATTTCCCGACCAACACTATTTTGGTGCCCACATAATGAAGTGAGTTTGATTTGATAGATAATAAAAATAAAGAAATAATGGCTTTTTCATAAGAATGCCTTCCAACCGACTAATGCTCCTTGACATATACTGCACAGTGTGTGACATTTAAGATTTGTGTCGCCTAGACTAGGTCTGTGGCATTGTCAGTCATGATGCTCCACTTGCGGGATGTGAGAATGACTGTTGTCACAAGATGTAAGCAATACGTCAATCAAAGTATTGACCGGGATATTATGTGATCATTTATTATGAAAAATCAGAAAGTGTAATTTGAGAACTATCACGGACAAACTTATATTACAGTAGACTCTGGTTGACAGCTCATTGATGGAATCCTGGGGAACATCTTACTCACACTGTACAGCTCATTGATGGAATACTGGGGAACATTTCATATATATACACTGCACCACTCATTGTTTGAATACTAGGGAACATTTCATATATATACACTGCAACACTCATTGATGGAATACTGGGGAACATTTCATATATATATACACTGCACCACTCATTGATGGAATACTGGGGAACATTTCATATATGTATACACTGCAACACTCATTGATGAAATACTGGGGAACATTTCATATATATACACTGCACCACTCATTGATGGAATACTGGGGAACATTTCATATATATACACTGCACCACTCATTGATGGAATACTGGGGAACATTTCATATATATACACTGTACCACTCATTGATGGAATACTGGGGAACATTTCATATATATACACTGCACCACTCATTGATGGAATACTGGGGAACATTTCATATATATACACTGCACCACTCATTGATGGAATACTGGGGAACATTTCATATATATATACACTGCACCACTCATTGATGGAATACTGGGGAACATTTCATATATATATACACTGCACCACTCATTGATGGAATACTGGGGAACATTTCATATATATATACACTGCACCACTCATTGATGGAATACTGTGGAACATTTCATATATATACACTGCACCACTCATTGATGGAATACTGGGGAACATTTCAAATATATATACACTGCAACACTCATTGATGGAATACTGGGGAATATTTCATATATATATACACTGCAACACTCATTGATGAAATACTGTGGAATATTTCATATATATACACTGTACCACTCATTGATGGAATACTGGGGAACATTTCATATATATACACTGTACCACTCATTGTTGGAATACTGGGGAACATTTCATATATATACACTGCACCACTCATTGATGGAATACTGGGGAACATTTCATATATATATACACTGCAACACTCATTGATGAAATACTGTGGAATATTTCATATATATACACTGCACCACTCATTGATGGAATACTGGGGAACATTTCATATATATACACTGTACCACTCATTGTTGGAATACTGGGGAACATTTCATATATATATATACACTGCACCACTCATTGATGAAATACTGTGGAATATTTCATATATATACACTGTACCACTCATTGATGGACTGGTGGGTAAGAAGGTGGGGAGAGAGGGAGGGAAAGGGTGGGTGTGTCTCGTCATCATACAGTTACTGATCATCATGACAAACCACTACTATATTAAGTTGTTTCGGCCAAAGGGGGAATGTACACACACATGTAGCTGATAGTGTACAGCTTGCTAATTATGCCGTCAGTTGTCTAATTGCAGATTACCCTGACCATTAATACCTGTCAGATGATAACGAGCTTGTGAATACAGGTGTGCTTGTTGAGTATATTTGAGTGTTTGGTGATTACATTGCTGCTAATTGTCTCAGTGGACAATTAGCTGAGCGTCAGAGCAGTCGAAGCCAATAGCTTGAGTTATTTGATTAGTCTAACAGGACTTGACACTTTCATAAATAGATCACAAAATGCAAGAGGCTTTTACACTTTGACAAGTCAGTGTGAAGCCAGG